GTTACTGAGCTCGGATCGGTCTCGGCGCGGTTTTTCAAGGGTAGTTTAAATGGGATATTAGAAAAGTCTGTTCTGAATAGCACCAGTTACTAAACTTTTCTTTAAATCATGGGCAGTGCCAAAGCCAAAGACTGTGATGGGATGGTAGGATGAATGAGAAGAAAGACAGACCAACAGACAAAAGAATGGAGTGTTGGTCAGAAAAAAAGGATTTACAGAGGTAACGATGGACCAACAGTTGAATTGATAAACTGACCATCCAGTCTCCAATCTAACCCTCTATAGTCCAAGAAACAATACATGGATTGACAAACAAGCAGATTAATGGGATTATCTATTCTTCCGTGTTTGAAAAGTCCTAAAATCAAACTCTCTCCTTTTCCAGAGTGAGAAGGAACCCAGTGAACATACAGCCTGTTACAAGCAGATTTCAGTCTATTTTTAGTTGGAGTCAAACAGGGGAAGATAATAGAAAAACCCATTCAGTCTCTTACCAGCTCCTTGAAGAAAGCAGCTTCCTTTGGCTGCTCAGAATACCTCTCAAACTGGTCCAAACCGTCCTGCAGTTTAAGGGTCAGGGTGTCATAATTGGACCGAACCACCTCCAAAACCTGAAGTGAAAAATATAAGAAAAGTACCGCTCATGAAAATAAACAGGTTTAATTTAAATAGATTCCATTATCGTATAATGATCAGATAAACAGAGATGGAAATTAACATTTGCTGATGAGTCTTTAAATACTCTCATTTTTCATGAGGGATCAAGTTGAAAGCTACATCACTTTTGCCGCAACACAGATGTTGCTGAACCACAACCTTCTTCTAAGGCTTCTATTTAGTTTTAAAATGATCAGTCCTTTCTACCCTCAGCTGGTCAGGTCGCTAAAAAGACTGATGAATAAATGTCAATTTCAACTGTTTTAGGGTGGAATATTTATGCCCATGTGCTTTTCAAAAAAAAATAACTGAACACAAATGATAAATGAGTTTTAAAAGAATTAAAGGCTTTCAGCAAAAAGACTGTTTCAGAAAGTTATTAAATCTGTATGAACACATTTTATTGAGGGTGGTTTATTTCAGCTGCTCGATTTGACCATGCTTTATTCAGACAAAAACTGCTCTGTGAAACATTTAAAAAAATGTCTAAGTTTCATCAGTTCATTTGTTTTCCAGAAGGCAACAACCCCACAGCATATTGCTACCACTACCATGCATAGCTGTAGTCCAGTTCTCTTAGGTTTGTAATCTTCTCTAAACTGCTTAAAACATGCCGCATTCAAAAGTCCCAGTGGAGCCTTCTGTCAAACTTTGCCAAAGTGATCAGAACCCAGTAATCATAAAACTCCAGCTGGCGTCAATCATGACCTCTAAGAAAAAGTGATTTTAAATCTGTATGTATAAAAAGGACCCGTTGCAGGTGATTTTATACCCACATAAATTAAAACATTGTAAAAATGTACAGATAATTGAATTTAAATGCTAACTTTAACTACTTTTATGAGCATATTGGTTCAGCCTACAGTAACCACCAACTCTGCAACATCCTCAGAGGAAATAATCTATTAGCAGAAGTTAGAGCAGCTTTACCTCCATTTTTTGCAAATGATAAGTAGAATTTATGATCTTGAATATAATTTAATTACATTTTTTGTGACCCTCTATATGAGAATAAAAAATATTATGGTCTCTATGTAAAGAGGACTTGAGCAAAGTAGTTTCTTCCAATGTTGTTGAAACTAAAGATTGACAAAAAAAAATCCTTTGGATTCTATGTAGTCATTTATTAGACTTAAGAAAAATTAGGAAAACATTTATTTGACTTAAGGTCTATAATGGTATGGTTATAGGGATCATCCCTTAAAAATGTATATTGTTTGCTGATTTAGTGATGTGCTTGCATAAATAAATTATCTTAAGGACAGACTGCAGACAGATACTTGAGATAACAGCTGGGATGTTCAAAGTCTCTTTTGTTTGCTTCTATTTTGAGCACAGTGGGTTCAGAACTGGATAGTCAATGTTTCTAACTGTGGTACTGCTGAATATATAAACAACACCATGTATCTTCTGGCATAATTCATTTAAATCTTTGATTAAAATACTAGACTGGGCCAAAATTGACAAGCATCAACCCTTACTGTGTTGTGAAAGAAGTAGACCTCTTTTATCATTTTATGCAACACAATGCCACATGAAAACTTTACGGGAGGAAACATGAGCTGCACTTTGTCACAGACAGTACCAAGTGAAAGTTTTGCATAACAAAACATCTTTAACAGATCCCAACAGTGTTATCACAAAAAAAAAAATCATTATTTGTCCATTATCTGAATTTAAAAGCCCATTAACATTTTAAGTTTTCTGTGGATGCGTAATAGTTCTCATATCTTGTTAATACATTAGCAACTCCACTCGGAACAGAAACAATGGCAGTTTTTTTCTTGTTAGTCTTTGGAAGTACACTGTTGAAATATTCATGACAAAGTCTCTTTCGTTATTCTGCAGCTCCTTCGGTACAGCTCTCTACCTCACCTCTACATGTATTTAAAAAACGTGAAGCAAAGTTTGACACCTACCCTCTACTACAGGTAAAACTGAAGGCAAGGAATTAGAATATGCCAAGTCAACAAAACATAAGAATTCTTTCCGTCTATAAAGATTCATGTGTATTTAAAAAAAAAAAGTCAACTTGTTTTTTAACTTGTGTGATGTGCATTCAGTCTGGCCCTTTGTGTTGCAGAGCGTAGAGTCGGGTTTTAATGCTTTGTGTTTCCAGAGGCCATCCATCTTCCAGAGTCATGAAGGGATGAAGACACTCCAGGCAGATAGAGCACCGGCTGCTGGGTCATGTGTTAGGATGTTATGTCAGATGAGGACAAGAAATTCAAGGTTTGTTTCATTTTATTAAAAACCAAGAGCTGAGGGTCAGAACAGGACTGCAGAAAGACACAAAGAGTACAGCCCGAAGAAACAACATGCGTTATTGCTTTCATCTCTGTTCAGCCCATCTGTTACACTGAAGATCCTCTGGCTGCATTAAGAGTCTCTGAACAGACTTCTTCAGGTTAATGCTACTGGGTTTCTGTCAATCCCCATAATAAAAAGCACAACTGTAACCTGGTTAACTTAACATTTTCTTTCTAGCATAATGTTTCAAAGGAGCTTTATTTCTATCCCAATATTACCAAAACTAAGCGGAAAGTCAGTGTCCGCTTCATTCAAATATCTGTGAAAGTTTTCTTAATGTACGTATGAGGACATAATTGTTGATACCCCTAATATAATGGAAAACAAAAATGCACACAGAAATAACTAAACATAAACTAATGACACAGGTCTGGACAGAAATAATGGTACCCTTAGGAAAAGTATCCCTTGACCATTATGTGACCAAAGGGACATGTTAAATCAACTTGTGTCCACAAATTAGCATCACAAGTGTTTAGAATCTTGTAATCAGTCAGTGGGCCTACATATATAGGGCTAGAGGTAGTCACTGTGATGTTTGGATACATGGTGTGTACCACACTCAACATGGACCAGAGGAGCAAAGAAAAGAGTTGTCTAAGGTGCTTAGAAAGAAAATTATACCGGGTAGACAAACGTGTTAAAGGCTATAAGACTATCTTCAAGCAGCTTGATGTTGTTGTGATTATTGTTACATATATTATTCAGAAATTTGGGACCGTAGCCAACCTCCATAGTCATGCCCACCGGGGATGGAACGGTTTATGAAAACCGTCCGAACCGTTCAGTTCGACTGTCTCAGTTCGATTCGCGTCAAGCGTATCTACAAAGGAAAACTGTCCCTAATGTGAAACATGCAGACGGCTCTTTTATGTTCTGGGGCTGCTTTGCTTCATCTGACTTGGAGTATCTTGAATCTCTGCAGGGATCAATGAAATCTCAAGACTATGAATGGATTGTAGAGAAATGTGCTGCCCAATGTTAGAAAGCTTGGTCTCAGTCACAGGTCGTGGGTCTTCAACAGGATAATGAGCCAAAACGGCTAAAAAACAACCAAGAATGGCTGAGGTTGCTGGTGGGCTTCCAGTCATTGTCCTGCTGTATAAAACCCAAGTGCTCATAAGGCTACAGAACTAACAGACATCTTCCTTAAGAATATTCAGCTAAGTAGCAGAAATTTTGATTTAAATAATAACATAAATTCATTTAGGTCCTGCAAGAGTCAGACCCAGACAACAACACTCCCACCAGAATGACTTGACNTTATGCTAACAGCAACATGACCAACATGTCAGGCTAACAATCAACATATACCGAACTGAACCGAAAACCGTGAACCGAACCAAACCGTGGATTTTGTGAACCGTTCCACCCCTAATGGCCACAGAAGGAAAATTGTTGACCAACAAAGGAGATACTGAATGGTAACAAAAGTGTCCAGAAAATGTTCTACAGAGATAAAAGGTGAACATCAAGCTAAAGGAACATCAGCGTCAGTTTGGACCATCCATCATGGTTTGAGCTAAGTGGAGTTAACGGGAGACGACCAAGGGGGTCACCACTGTTGAAAACAAATAAGCCAGACTGGAATGTGTCAGCATGTCCACAGATGGAAAAGTCAAGCGTATCTACAAAGGAAAACTGTCCCTAATGTGAAACATGGAGACGGCTCTCTTATGTTCTGGGGCTGATTTGCTTCATCTGACTTGGAGTATCTTGAATCTCTGCAGGGATCAATGAAATCTCAAGACTATGAATGGATTCTAGAGAAATGTGCTGCCCAATGTCAGAAAGCTTGGTCTCAGTCACAGGTCGTGGGTCTTCAACAGGATAATGAGCCAAAACGGCTAAAAAACAACCGAGAATGGCTGAGGTTGCTGGTGGGCTTCCAGTCATTGTCCTGCTGTATAAAACCCAAGTGCTCATAAGGCCACAGAACTAACAGATATCTTCCTTAAGAATATTCAGCTATGTAGCAGAAATTTTGATTTAAATAATATAAATTCATTTAGGTCCTGCAAGAGTTAGTCAGTCCCTGACAACAACACTCCCACCAGAATGACTTGACTGTCGGCATTATACTTGTTATGACAGATATATTGGTAGGCAAACCTTCTAAAAAGCTAATGTTTTTTTCAAAAAGCCCTGGCAATCTGCTGTAGAAATGAAGGTGGTAAAATAGTGGCCCCAGACAACTATACTGGTTTCTGGAAATTACATTATAAAGTCTTTTTATGACTACTAAATGGGTTATAAAAACAGAAAATACAATTAAAACTGTTTCTTTGGAACACTTTAAACATTAACTAATGTTAAAATAATTGCTAATAATTTAATAAGCTATGTATATTAATCTGATGAGAAGGGCTGAATGTAATGCAGAGAAACTAAAAACAAAGACAGTTTCTATTGTTTTTTCACTGTTGTGAATATATCTAGCAGATAAGGTACACAGAGGTAATTAGAGCATTTAATGACCAAATCCATTACTCTCCTATCAGCTGTAATAAAAACAGTCTCCACGCTGCTTTTCCATTCGCACAGATTTAGTACAAATGATAGAAGTCTAAAATCAGACCCAAATGAAGCACGGCCTCTTCTTCCTGACACTTCCAACAGTAATGAGGAATCACATTAGTGTTTT